AAAGTTAACAGATAATAATTGAATTATCGTGTTAAACAAAAAGTTAGCGGTAAATCTAACAGTTTGTATGGTCCAATAAATATATTAACATGTTGCGGTAACATATAACTATGTATATAAATTTGTAAGTTAGCATATAATAATTAAGTTATCGCATTAAACAAAAATTTAGCGGTAAACCTAACAGTTTGTATGGTCTAATAAATATTTTAACATGTAACGATACACATGTAACTATATATAAATTTGAAAGTTAGCTGATAATAAATGAGTTATCGCGATAAACAACAGTTAGCGGTAAACCTAACAAATTGTTTGGTCCAATAAAAATTTTAACATGTTGCGGTAATATATAAATTTGAAAGTTAGCAGATAATAATTGAGTAAGCGGATTAAACAAAAAGCTAGAGATAAACCAAACAGATTGTAAGGTCATAAATATTTTAATATGTTGCGGTAACATATAACTATCCATAAAATTATAGATATCTATAAGCATATGAAAGTTAACACACAATAATTGAGTTTCCATTTCGCCTAATCACAACAAAAGTGATATCAAGTTAAATAACAATCTATATCTTTATGAACATGCTAAATTATGTAGTACATCATATAAATATATAAATTCTGGTTAATATTTTATTTAACTTGATAGTTTATTTGTTATCCAATAATTTTCGAATTATCGTGTTGATGTGCGCAAAATTATCTTAGATCTGATGACATATTCAACATTCTTATTATAGTTTGACAAAGCTCCATTTTTGTTCTGCCATGGCAGAAATTCATGATAATTTTGGCAGATATCCAACAAAAACTTGTTCAGTGAGTTAACTTCGGCCATAGATTATCGACACTCCTCTTGATTTTCTGGTGAGATCTCTCGGCTCCCAGTCATCGATGAGGTATGGCGATGACTCATCATCTTCTTTCAATCAAATCTGTCAAAGAATTCTTGCTAACCTCAGAGAAGAAATCAAGTCAATATCTAATTGTTTCAACCACTGATGTTGTTGTCTACCTGTTAGAAGACTTCAAGAGAGCTTTGGGAGCTGTCGCATAAATGGTGGAAGAATTCTGAGAAGAAGACGATGGTGCATCGTTGTTGTGATTTACGACATGACAAAACGAAGTTAGATCCATTAATTACAGAAAGCGGAGGAGAATTTATCTATATGCAGATCGATTATCTTCGATGATGAAAGAACATCACAGTTCGAAAAAAAAAAATTTTGGTTGAGATTGAAGATAAGAACGAAAGAGTGAGGAGAGAGAGCATGCGACTCATAAAATATATTTTAAATCTTTGTCAGATGATGTATAGAATCCAAGTTATTTCACACTTCGTTGAGGGTATAATTGGAAATTTTTTTTTGAACAGTCC